ACGCAATTGTGAGAACCACTAGAAGTCTGTTTCGACTGCAGCAAGGAGAGCCCCCTTTGTCACCACGTCTTCTCCCGGCTGCTTCGGGTTTGGTCCTCCTCCAGAGTCTCTCTGTCACGTTCTGCCTTCGGTTTTGGGGCCAAAGAAGCAGCTATGCAGGGTCCTAAGCGATCCCCCCCCCTCTCCCCCCCTCCCTCCGGCTTCCTCACACTGCATTCACACATGACCTTGGCGGCCGCCAAGATCAGAGCCTTGACGTTTCCCCAGATGAAAGCTGGTTTTCCGAAAGCCTCTGCGATGTTGCTGCCTTTCTCTGTCCCTCTGCAACGCCCCCCTCACCCCCCCCAGCCGTGTTTTTATCGTTTTAGGAATCCAGTTTTTAAAAGGTTTTTCCTTTGCACCGGTTGTGCCAGTCGAAGATGTGAGGCTTCCCACCAGCCTGGCAATGACAGCCTCCTGCCCCTTTAATCTGTGCTTTGGGGTGGGGGGGGTTGGCACCAGGGGAGTGTGCGTGTGTCGGTGGCTTGATTTTTGACTTTTCGACAAGCAGGGAGGCGCACTCCAATGCCTGTCTCGCTCTGTTCACTCATGGAGAAGCAGAGAAGCTGTCGGCCTCAAGAAAACCTCCATTTTGACCAAGGAGGCTTTAGTGCAGGGGTGTCCAACCTTGTCAACTTGAAGACTTGTGGACTTCAACTCCCAGAATTCCTCAGCCAGCAAAGCTGGCTGAGGAACTCTGGGAGTTGAAGTCTACAAGTCTTCAAGTTGCCAAGGTTGGACACCCCATGTCTTAGTGGATCCATCCAGCCTCATTTACAAGGCGTTTTGCTTGAGCCTCCCTGTTTCTCCTCCGTTTCTTTTCATTGTGCGGCTTCTCCAAAATATCTGCTGGGCTGGGGAGGAGAGGGCACCGCTGCATGGGACATTTTTTTCGGAGGGCATTATACTCTGGGCGCTGGGAATCATCTAGGCCTAGATTAGCATTTTTTTTTCAACCTCTGTGGCTTCGTCAGATAGGCGGACTTCAACTCCCAGAATTCCCTACCCAGCTAGCTAGGGAATTCTGGGAGTTGAAGTCCACCCATCTTAATGGTTGAAAAACACCCACCCATTTCTATTTCTAACGGTTGCAGCTGCTGCCCTCTGGTGAATAAAATGGCAACTGCACCCGAGCAGGTATTTGGTCCTTGCTCGGCGCTGGAGAATTTTACTGCTTGGTCCCCGCCGAGGGCATGCAGAATGTCTAATTTCTAATGTTTATAATCCACGCCATTTGTTGTTGGTTTCAGTTCAGTGTTCGTTGAATGGAAGACTCTTGGGAGCACCTTCAGAGGTTGCAGAATGGGTGGGAGGGAAGGGGCCTGGGGAAGACCCCCCCCCCCACACACACACACATTCCCGAAAGCTGTTTCAGACAATATCCTGCCAAAAACCTGGGTCTGCCATTCAGTGCCATGCAAGGACGATTGCAAAAAAAAAAATGACAAAAACCAGTTTGTCTTGCTTTTAAAGAGCTACCCTTAAAAATGTGAGGTGTGAAGAGGACCTGGGTTGCAAAAGACCAGGTAGATCGGCTACCCCGGATCCTTATTAAACACTTGGTGTATGCATGTGTGTGTGTGTATGTGTGTGTGTGTGTGTTTCTTCTGTCTCGGTGTGCAAGAGAGTGGTGTGTTTAATTGTGGTATTGGAGCAGCATGTCTCTTCTGAAGAACTCAAGTTTCAGTTCAAGAAATTATCTGTATTATCACCGGCCTGTTTGCCACCCATCTTGAGAATGAGAAAGAACATATGGAAGGAAAGGGACTTTTAAAAAGGGGTCACGTTGTACAGAGAAGGGGTCTCGAGAAGGGGAGGCAAGCTTCTCCTTTACCCCAATCTGGGGCAACGAAGAGCAGCCTGGGAACAGTTGCAAAAATGAGAAGGGAGTCATCTGGTGGCAAGAGAGATGCTGAATTTCAACCGGCAGATGTAAAACTAAAAAAAAAAAAAAATGTTTCAAACTTCCTTTCCTGCCTCTCAAATGTTTGGGTGCAAGAAGTCGGAAGATCTCGCTGTCCCTTTATGGGCTGGAGAAGGAAAAGGACATTGTGAGGAGCTGAGAACAGTTTGCTTGGATATTTGACGTATAAACGCCTCCGTGACTCTCTTGGCCAGAGGAGGAAGGAAGAGCCGTTGCACTGTGACAGAGCTCCTAGGTCAAAGGATCCGCAGGGTCTTTAAAAAGTGCCCGTTTTCAGCTCAATTCCATAGAAAGGAGGTCACATTCATTCATGACTGGCTGTTTGTTGAAATGTTGTTCCTAACCTTGTTTTGTTTTTTTTTTCTTTTCCTAAAAGAAAAAAAAAAGATGTAAATCGTTGTGTTTATACAAACTATTTTTATTAAAAAGTGTTGTGCGGTTGTCCAATGGCTACTTGTGGGATGACGGTCTCTGAAGCGTTTCTTCTTTGGGGTCAGCTGGCAAGGGAAGCAGAAGAGATTTTCCTGCGGAATTGCCGGTTAAAAACCAGGATGGCCTCCCATGGAGGATGGGGAGAAAACTCCATTTTTTATTGCTCTGTTAATTAAATCTATTTTTTGCCCACCTCATTGTTACAACTGGGCAGTTTTACAGTATAATAAAAAGATAATACAATTAAAAATTAAGAAAGGCTAATAAGCTAGAAATTGGCCACAAGTCACCCTAATTGATGTGCTCAACAAGCCCCGCCCCTGGAGCTCAGTGGGCGGGGCTTCTGCAATTGAGGGAGGGGCATTTTACAGGCTTTAGGCTCCAACATTCTCTGTGTGGTCTCCTTTTTCTTGCCCAAGCAGCAGGGAAGGAGGTTGGTTTCTTAAGTTACCCAGTTATGAAATATTTTTCCATTTACAGACACTACAACCGAGCCCAACACGTCTGTTGCTAAGTGAAACAGTTAAAGGAATTTTGCCCTATTTTACCGCCTTTTCTTGCCACAGTTATTAAATGAATCACAGTACCTAAGTTACTAATATGGTTGTTAAATGAATCTGGCTTCCCCAGTGACTGCTTGATAGAAGGTCACAGAAGTGAATTGCATGACCCTGGGACGGTGCAACCGTCATAAATATGAGTCAGTCGCTAAGTCTTGATCCCTGTGACTGTGGGGATGCCGGAAGAGTCGTAAATGTGAAAAATGGCCATAACTTTTCACTGGGGTAACTTCAAACGGTCATTAAGCAAGTGGTTGTAAGTTGAGAACTACCTGTACTTCTATCGCATCTTTTTTTTGCTGAAAAAAACAAACTCCCCTCAACCCCTTAAGGCAGGAGTGTCCAACCTTGGCAACTTGAAGACTTGTGGACTTTAACTCCCAGAATTCCTCAGCCAGCAAAGCTAAAGTCCACAAGTCTTCAAGTTGCCAAGGTTGGACACTCCTGCCTTAAGGTGAGCTGGGCTGAGAAAGGCTGGCCCAGAGGCACCCAGCTGGCTTCCTCGCCTTTGGACAGCCACTTGGCAGACAATTAGGTTTTTCTGCCTTTCCCATCGTAAGTTTACTTGCGGGTTGGATGATTGGGTGGGCTGCCAAGGGGCTTTTGTGTGTACATGCAGAGTGTCCCATTCCAACCTCTTCACCGGCCACGTCCCTCCAGGGCAAAGACTTGGGTAAACTGACCCCGTTGATACGTAGAATCACGTCATATCAGAACAGGGCTGGAAGGGACCTTGGAGGTCTTCTAGTCCAGCCCCCTGTTCAAGCAGGAGAACCTATACTATTCCAGACAGGCGGCTGTCCGGTTTAAAAACTTCTCTTCCCCTGGTTAATTGTCCTCGCTGTCAGGAAGTTTCTCCTTAATTCCAAGTTCTGGAATTCTCTTTTATTAGCTTCCATCCATGGTTTCTTGTCCCGCCTTCAGGTGCTTTGGAGAATCATTTGACCTCCTCCTCCTCTTTGGGGCAGCCCCTCTTTAGACTAGCCAGGCGCAAAAACCTGCAGCCGTTCTTCATACGTTTTTAGTCTCCAGGCCTTTGATCCTCTTCGCTACTCTTCTCTGAACTTTTCCCAAAGTCTCAACATCTTTTTTTTTTTGTAACGTGGGGAACCAAAACTGGTTGCAGGATTCCAGCTGTGGGAGAGAGAGAAGCTTCGGCAGCCGCACAAACAGGCTGGAGAAGAGTTTTTATCACGACTCCCGAATGCAAAACGGGGCAGAATCAAAACCACGTCGCGCATTATTAATCCCACTTCATAGCAAACTGATCCGACGTTTCCCTCCCTCCCTCCGGGGAGTCATCCGAGCAAGTAAGACTCGCGCCCGGCCCGTTTCCCCCTCCCCTCGAGGAGGCAGCCCGGCGTTTGAGTGACGCCATCTGCGCGCCGGAAATGCCGCTCTGCTTCCGCCGGCCATCTTTGTCCAGGGCAGCCGAGCAAGAAGCCGGGCGGGAGCGCGGTTGCCCCGCTCTAAAGTGGCGGCGGCGGCGGCGGCGGCAGCGCGGAGAAGGAGGAGGAGGAGGAAGAGCAGGGCGAGGGCGGCGGCGGCGGCGGCGGCGGGGGCTGTCGGGGCCCCGCGGGACGTGCTGAGCCGGAGCGCTGGCCGGCTCGGAAAGAGAGCGCGGCCTCCGGGCAGGCGAGTGGCCGTGGCCGCGCTGGACGGACTGCAGCGAGGGGAGGGCGGAGGGGGGGGGGGAATCTCTCGGGGGGGGGGGGGGGCGAGGAAGAGGAGCGGGGAGGGGGAAAGTCCCAAGACCCTCGACACGGAGGTCGACACGTGTCTCCGCTGTCCCGTGGGGAGCCCCGCGTGGCCGCTTGGAGCGGCGCTTCCTCCTCGGGGTGGGGGTGGTGGGGCTGGCGTCCCCTTCGGGCCGGGGGTCTCGGCGGGTCTGGGGGCGCCTCCGCCCGCCTCGTGCTTTGGCGACGAGGGAACAGGCCGTCCCTGCCGAGAGATCCGGGGCTGCTTCCTGCACGCAGCGGGCGCTTTGGTGGTGGTGTCCTTAGTTCGCCTCCCGCTTGGGCCCCTGGAAGCCTGGAGGGCTTCAACTCCCAGAATTCCCCAGCCAGCAAAGGGGTAAATAAAAGGGGGGAGGGGGAGGAGGAGACGTAGCTTTGAGGGGAGGGGGTGCTTGTCCTCCCATTTGGCTGCAAAAGAACTAAAGCAGCGGCCTCCAACCTTGGCAAGTTGAAGCCTGGTGGATTTCAACTCCCAGAATTCCCCAGCCAGCTTTGCGGACTTCAACTCCCAGAATTCCCCAGCCAGCTTTGCTGGAGGACTTCAACTCCCAGAATTCCTCAGCCAGCTTTGTAGACTTCAACTCCCAGAATTCCCCAGCCAGCTTTGCTGGAGGACTTCAACTCCCAGAATTCCCCAGCCA